GATCAAATGATCAATCAAATGATAGATTTGAAATGATGAAAGTTCATCAAGTACAACTCAAGATCTCATGAACAAGATGGCATACACATTCTCCAATTGATCAAAAGAAATGTGAAAAAAAAGGAAAGGGATAAAGAGGATCAAACAAGAAAGTAAAACCAAATTGGATCCAAGTGATGATCAAGTTATCATCAAAATCAATAACCCACTTTGCTGGATTAGGGTTTTCACCCCATCAACACCCAAGATCCATTGAGTTTGATGAAACTTATGATCAAATCAACCAAGATCAAAGGCCAACAATAGTCAACACAAGTCAAACAAATATAAAAATGCAATAATATGAATTAAAATGCATCAAAATGATTTTTAAAATTAAGTTTAAAATAAAAATAAAGATGAAAATGTAAATGATACATCAAATCAAATCACAAATTGTCAAGAAAATTTATACAAGTCAGAAACAAGTCAAGAATGATATAAATTTTTTTTGAGAATTTTTAAATGCATAAAACTATTTTAAATCTATTTAAAATGCTTAAAAAATGAGAAAAATCATGAAAAATAGTAAATGATGAAAATAAAATATGAAAAATATAAAATCATAAAGAGAAAAACAAAAGAGAATTTTAGAAATTATTTTGCAATTTTTTGGAGTTAAAATGAAGTTTCTATGAGTTTTGAAAGAAAATGTAAGTTAAAAAAATAAAATCAAAAAATAAAATAAAAGGAAAAAGGGAGGAGTGTAGGATCTTAATTCATTAATTGACGTCGCAGATCCCACGCTCCTTAGATGACGGTGCATGATGAAAATTAACAAAGAAAAAGCGCTGAATCACATTTGAATCTAACCAATGAAAATATTTCAAACAACCAGTGTGTCTAACACCTTAGGTCATCGTCCCAGCCTCTCCGGTCATCTTTTCTGTTGAGATGCTCACTGGAGATTGCTAAGTGGTAACATTAAGGCACGAAACCACTATCATTACAACTGTCTCATCAAGGCGAACTCAACCTCACACTCTATTTTCATTTATTGAAAGAGAGTAAAGATAACTTTAAGAAAAATCAGAAGAACACACGGACAGTGAAATAAAAATTAAATGATAAACACAAGCTATCAACATCAGCTAGATTAGGGGAAATAATCAGCAAGCAAGGGACTATATTGTGGCAACTTGCTTGATTGAAAATGGAGTCTCAAACTACCTTGTCCTAAAACGATCGGAGGAGCTCTAAAATTGGATTTGGTTGGCACGATTCAGGGACTCTTGGAGTTTGGGAATTGTTATAGAAGCTTTAGAGGAACACGATGGAACTAATAGAATCAAGAAATTAAGTTGAAACTGGCTGGAAATCAAAACACGATAGCTCACTTTTTTTAAAAAAATTTTAGAGTGAAATAGTGGTTTTCTAGCTATCAAAAGCTTGAGAATGAAGAAAGAGAGGTTATAAATTTATAAGAGATGGTGATGGAATGTTGAGAGGGGTGAAATGATCAAAGCTTGAGTGAATTCGTGTGCACCCTCATCATGAAGAAAGTGTGACTTGAAATTGCTCAAAACTCAGCCAAATCATATGTTTTCTGAGTCAATTAACATCTGGAAACTTGATTAAACATGTTTAGGTCCAAAAAACATGGTAATTTAGCTTGTAAACAAGTTTTGATTGAGGTAAAAAATCTGATCATGGTGAAAACTTCAGTTACAAGCAACCATGTTCAACTCAATAAGGCATCTTGTACACGAGACTTTTTAATCTCATTCTTTTTGAAATTGATTAACATCATAAAAAAGATCAAAATGTGCCAAGAAAAGTTTTATTTAGATGCTTGAGCAAAAAGTAATGTCATGTTAAAGTTGGCACAAAAATCTGGCAAAACCAAACTTGAAATATTCTAAGTCCAAATGACTGAAAATGACCTATAATGTATCAATGAATTTCATGGCCTTTCAAGCATAATTTGGATTTGACCATTGTAGAAATCTTGTAGAGGGTATCACAAATGATATTTAAAAAAAATAATGAGTTCTAAATGTTGAAAATTTTGTAATTCTTGAAAGTTGAGAAAAAGTCACTTGAAAATAGACAAAAAGTCACTAAGTCCACAAATGACCTATAATGTCTTCAAACTTTTGATGATCCTCCAAGCATAATTAGCTCTTGTCATGTAAAGAGAAGTTGAAGGGGATATTAGTCATATTAAAAAAGAAGCATTCAAAAATATTGAGAATTAAAGGAGTTGTGATCTTTGAAACTTTGACTTTCAAATGTTGACTTTTTAGGTCAAACTCCCTTGAATCAACTTGTAAACTTGGACTTTCCTTTCATTTCAAAGGACATGGATGATCTTATGAACTCAAAATAATATTTCATTGAATACGCTTTGATTAAATTGACCAAAGCTTGAGGTAACTTGTTGAAGAAGACATGTAAATAAACACATGAATCTTTGACTTTTTTTGAGAGACAAGCTACTAAATCTTGAGATATCTTTGATCAAAATAAGATTGAATGATTCTTGAAACCTTGTAATTTGATATTAGAAGGCATGGTTTGATGAGATAGTCCTTGTAAAGCAATGGTTGACCACATTTTAACCTTGAGGGAGCAAAACCCTAGCTGATGAATCATGCTTGATGTTCTTAGTATAAACCCTACCTTACAAAACAAAAGGATACAATACATATTTTTGAATATTTTGATTAGTAGTTAGTAAAATATAAAGTATATAAACACAAATGAAAAGATATAAAGAAAGGTGTTTGGTGATATCTGTAAAGGCAAACTCAAAGATGAGAGGGTTAGAGGAGAATTAAGTTTGTGATCTTGATGCATTGTTAAGATACAAATGAGGTGGGATTTTAGAGGTAAAAATTAGAATATAACGCCTGCATATTTTAATCGTGATTTCCCTTCAAACACTCTTTTATATAAGAAATAATTTGGCTAAAAATGACAACAAACCATAAGACTGACTATTTTCTATCGATTAGAACATCAACTTAATTGATTAAGTTAAGTAAAAGAAAATAAACCCTGAGACGTCACTTAATAAATTAAAGGTTGGTTTTAAGAAGTTTTAAGAAGCAATATGAATAGTTTTAATGAATGTGGGCATTAACTTAGTACTTACTTCAAGACCACTTTTGCTTTACTTGCATTTATTTTATTAAAACATACGACAAAACACTAAGCGGAGTATCATGAGAGTTTTTAAAACTTCAAAATTTCAGCTCCTTTCAATTACTTAATTTAAATTTGATTAGCCCTTTTTGACCAAATCATTTAAATATCATTCTTGGTTAGTGAAGGATTAACTCCTTCTTTATTTAATATCTAGGATGATCATTCCCCATCTATTAAAAAACCACTTGTTCTTGAGATGAAGGCAGTACCAATCTTCCCCATTTGATTTTTTATTTATTTTATATTCTCGATATTGACCGTTTGAGCTTGGATTTGTGTCCTTTATTCGTTATCAAAGGTCTTGATTTCTTACATATAAGCCTTAAGTATTTCCTTCATCTTGTTGATTGATGTTGATGCCATGTTTTGGTTTTATGCAGAGAAACCAAAAGATAATTGGGTGCCTAAGGTCTTAATTAGTTTTGAGAGTTTCCCATGAAAAATTATAATGATTCCTTCATCATGGAAGTATATGGTTTGTTGTTCTTTTTATAATTCCCCACGTAGTTTATTGAGACAAGATTTAAATAGTAATCTTTAAACAAATGAGTATTTTCACAGTAAGCACATGCCACCTCTACTACTTTTATCATAACATTGACTGACTCCTCAGCTGGCACGTTAGGTGGTGTTATCATGGATTTCACAATGCAATGAATTTTAACAGTTTGGCAACAAGTGTTGTTTTTTCATTGACTTCATGCACTCCATTTGGTCTTTTGGTAGAAGCGAAGATATCTCTCTCTTGTGGTTGTCCATTAGTGTAAGTGTTCGCAATAAAGACATCTATCAATTCAAATCCTTCCTTGTATGAATTGGAAAGTTAAACTCCTCTCGAAGATGCATCCAACATGTTCCTTGTTGATGATGTTTAACCATTATAAAATGTTTCTAGTTGTATACAATATACATATAGTAATGCCATAGTTGCGTCATTGCCTCAACATTTCTTTGAATCTCTCAGAAGAATCAAAAAGTGTTTCTTCCTTTTCTTGTCTAAGTGATGTGATTTCATTTCTCATATAATCGTCCTTGACAAGAGGAAAATATTTATCAGTAAATGTTTCGGCTAAATCATTTAATGCGGCAACGGAATTTAGCTCGAATGAATTGAGCCATCTTTTAGCACTTATACCAACTTAACACGCAAACTTAGCATCTAGAACTTTATCATGCTTCAGCTTTACTATGGTGTCATTACTCAAACCATTTTCATCGAACACTTGAGTATGCTGGCAATTGATACTCATGTATTATTGTGACACCAAGTGTCACTTGAACTAATCTTGCGAGTTTTTTACACACATGCCACTGTTTGAAATCAAAAATATCAAATTGTCATAGTCTGGAGAAAAAATTGTAAAAATGCCACTATTTTATCTTGGGCACATCTATTCAAAGGACGACCCATTGAAGGCCTATTTCGTGTAGTTGGGGTTCGGTCATCCAAAGGCCGGTCCTATACTACGTGTTTTTTTTTTTTTTTTTTTTTTTTTTTAATTTTAGAAATAAATATATTATATATATTATTATTTTATGTTTTAAATTGTTTTTTTATATATTAAATTTTTTATATGATTTAAAATATTAATAAATAAATAATTTAATTAATTTAAATAATTTTTTAATATTATTAAATATTTTTTATATTATCTAATTAATTATTTAACTAATAAAATTATATAAAATAATAGACATTATCATTTAAATATTAAAAATTGACTACATAATTTAACATATTAATAAATTATATATTACACATTGCAATTTAAGAAATAATTTGAAAAATCATTTGAAAAACAAAAAATAATTTAGACGGGCCAATTTGACGGGCCTGCCACGTTCGGACATTTTCTCCGCATATGATCAATTTCTCGACAAATACCACATCTTCTCTTTTCTTTCTCAAAATCGTCCATTTCAGTTGTAATTCTTGTACTATTTGGACGCCCTTTCTTATTCTTTCCCATTGTCTCGCCATGACAAAGAGTAAATCCTTCATATGTTGGCCAATTTTGCTGGTGTGAAAGTCCAAGGAAGCTTTCGCTGTATACTTTGAATACACTCAGAACCTTGAAAATATCTGGTATGTGCATGTTATGGTCCTGCCGTATACTGGCACATGCTGTGATTACATGGGAGCAAGGTAAATGAAATGCCTGAAACCTCCCACAATCGCACCACCCTCTCTTGAGATCAACGCTAAAAGTACCTCATGGTCGGCCATCGCCTTGATTAATGCTTTCGAAAACCATAAAACAGAATCTCTCGCGATCAAATTGAATGACATTATGGCTACTAGATTTAATCGCTCCGTCGACCATTCCCTTGTTACAGTTTTGCGTGAAAGTTTGACTGGATGCCAATAGTTTTGTCCAATCGTGTCCTCGTTTTCCAAACAACGATCCCAGACGATAGTAAGTTGACTTGACCAATGCTGTAATAGGAAGGTTTTGGGTATCCTTAAGTACCGAGTTCATAGCTTCGGCCAAATTTGTTGTCATGTGTCCCCACCGCTGTCCTCCATCGAACGCCCTCGACCACTTCTCTTTGGGAATATTGTCTATCCACTCCAAAGCTGCTCTATCTGTTCTTCGTAGTTCGCCCCTATAGTAGTTAAATGTTGCCTCTGTTAGTGCATATTTTGTAGATGAAAATGTTTAAACAAAATGATCAGTAAAACATATGAAAATCATTAAGTCAAAAAATAAAAATTGAAACATCAACTCGTGAAGATGTAGACATACCCATGTTGACAACTGTTTTTCGTAGTTCTTTGTTTCTGAACTCACGCATGAAGTTGCAGAAATCTCCTCAATCAAAGTTGATTCAAAGGTTGTACTCGCTATGTTGGAGAGGTGGAGACCAGAAACACATACTTTCCATCTACCAACAGGTGAATGTACCATCAATTTAGAGGATGTAAGTATGTTATTAGGTCTTGTGTGAATGGCAAGGCTGTGAATGGTCCTACTCAGGTAGACGATGATGTATATATGGAACATTTAGGTATCGAACCAACAACATCTGATAAACATAAAGCATGTGTTAAAATTGTTTGGCTACAAACTACATTAGCACAATTACGACAAAACGCAACACCATCCGGTGAGGATAACATTCTCCATGCAAAAATATATATTTTACTACTCATAGCTAAAGTATTAATGCCAGACAAGAGCTATAACTATTTACATTCTTCTTGGATACCCCTAGTAGGAGATTTAGATAAATGCAATAGATATAGTTGGGGTTCTGCTTGTTTGGCTACATTATATAGGCATATGTGTAAAGCATGTGTGGTAGGGGTCAAAAGTATTGGTGGGTGCATTCTACTTCTAAGCGTTTGGACATATTGGCATATACCACTAATAGCTCCAGATACTCCCGTCGATTCACACCATCCTTATGCAACAAGGTAAAAATTATTTACATTTTCTTTTTCGTTTATTTTCTTTTTTTTTTACATCCCTATATTATATTTCTTTCTTTTAACATTTCAAGATTTGTTCGAAGAGGCATGGCTTACCAAAATAACCCTCAGACTTTAGATTTGCACTAGACATATTGAGGGCTAACAGATTATGTACACTCAATATAAGTGTCACTCACATGGGACTTAGGAAGTCCTTTTGTTAAGTTTTCTTTTGGTTTCCTTTATGTATTTTTATTTTAAGTTTATCTATGTGGCAATGCCACTAGTCTTATCTGTGTCAAGCTCTATGTAAAATATATTGGAAGCAAAAATATGTGAAGCTATATGTTTTAATTTGTTTAGTCTTATTATTTAAAAGTTTCAAAAATTTCATATTTTATAAATGTTTCTAGATTTTAATTAGAATTTCACTAATGGGACATAGGATGTCTCATAGGGACTCTATATATTCTCCTCACACTAGGTGAAATATGGATTTGGTTTTGACAGAATATTTAATGTTTTTTTAACACTTTTTTTTTTAGGATGTGTCTTTTTACCTTGCAATAATTCCTTCTTATTTTGTTATTTGAGTGTCTTATTTTTCTTAAACAATTCAAATATGTTTTCTAAAACCTTGTTAAATATTGAGCTTCATCTTGGGCACAATACCACCTTTTGATTTACTTTACATTTATTTTTGAATAACTCAACTAATACTTGCCCAGCTCGAAGAAAAAAAAACTTTTATTTGAATAGTATTCTTCTAACGTCTCAATGGTTATTTTGATCTCCACTTTTTCTTTGTCGAGAACCATTTAAACCATATAAATGTCCAGTTCTGGTTCTGCATAGTTGGCATCTACTTCAAAGGGAGTTGTATCTAACTTTTCAAGGACTTAATCTAGTATTCGGAAACATCTCCTCCTTCTTCAATAGTCTTTTGAATGAAGTCTCTAAAGCACACATAAACGTTAGTATGATGGTCGAATGTAATGAATTTTTAAATATTTTCTACGTTGCACTTGTTCTTGTTCTCGAATGGGGATTTCAAGACCATCACTAAGTAAAATTTGTTATCGTATTTGCTCTCGTTCTCAAAGAGGATTTTTAAAATACTTTCTACCTCGTATTTGTTCTCATTCATAAAGCGAAATTCCAAGGCCTCGCTCACCTTTTAAACTTGATACTTATATTGCCTCCTGATCCCAGATCCAGCAACCATTACACCAAGCTCCCATCTCTTCCTTTGTCTCCAATTTAACTTTCAATCTATGAAACTCTTCCAAAAAGCACCCTTAAGCCTTTGATAATTGATCCACTAAGACCACTACAATAATACACGATTCGCTTTACCTAGCTTACACACTACATTATTTGAAAACCAATCTGAACACCTTAACTCTTTGAATCCTATCACCTGCAAATATCTCCACCAAATGGATGTTAGAACAATATTTCTTCATGACATATATTCCTTGGTTTTTTATGATAACAAAGTATTAAAATAAAAATGTTTATATTTTATGTGTGTTTCATGTATGCAGGTTCTAATACTTATATATATATATATATATATATATATATATATATATATATATATATATATATATATATATATATATATATATATATATATATATATATATATATATATATATATATATATATATATATATATATATATATATATATATATATATATATATATATATATATATATATATATATATATATATATTCAAAATTGTATATACAAGGGCACACTTGAGAGAAGCTGAATTGCTAACTTCTGGTGATGCAGAATCTGAAGAACACTCTCTAAGTGACCTCTGGTGTAAACTCTGAAGATGAAGGTCTCAACATCAAAAGAAGCAACATAATTGTCTCTACACTTGGTGAATGTAAATTAGCTTCTGGTGATCATTTAGAGTTAGTGATAAAGCTAAAGCTACATGTACTGCAGAAAGCAAGCTGCATTGTCAAATCAGTTTGTTTCTAGAGTCTTGGTTCACAAGGCTCAAGAAAAGTTGGAAAGAAGAGCTTTGAATACAAGATCTCTTTGAATACTCAATGGTTAAAAGAAGAGCTTACAAACCTCTAACTTAGCCTATGAGACTCTGAAAGAGCTTACAAACCTCGTATTCTGGTGTTGCCAAAAGGAGTTAAAATGTAGTTAACTTGGTGTTCTTATATATGGAACTAAAGGGGAGCTTACAAATCTCAACCTTGGAACTGTTTGACTCAGAGGGAGCTTACAAACCTCAGACCTTGACGTTACTAAGAAGACTAATTTATTTTTCTTGGAAAATAGTTCTTAATGCTAGAGTAAATTAAACTCAGTTGTGAACTATCAGACTCAGAGGGAGCTTACAAACCTCATACCCTGTTGTTGCAGAGAAAATTAAATGCCCAACATTATCCTTTAAATACTTGTGTTTTTCATCATAAAAAAGGGGGAGATTGTTAGAACAAGATTTGTTCTTGACATTCTCTCTATTAGTTTTGGTGATAACAAAAGTATTAAAAAAATAATGGTTTATTTTATATGTGTTTTATTTATGCAGGTTCTTGTACATAAATAATCAGAATTTGTTTTACTTAGATACACTTGGAGTTGCTTCCTTGCTAGCTTCTAGTGGCAGAGTTTGAAGAACAATGGCTAGTGTGGTTTGAAGAAGACTCAGAACTGAAGGCCTCAGCATTCAGACGAGTTTCTATACTTAGTAATTATATATCAGCATCTGGTACCATTCATAGTTGGTGATATAGTTGTAGACTATCCGTACTAATGAAAGCAAGTTGTATTGTCTTATCAGCCTGTCAGCTCGAGTCTACAAGATTGAAAGGCTCAAGAAAAGCTGGTACATTCTATGGATGTCTGCTCCCAACGACTCTATTAGTACAAAACCTCTTAACGACTCAAAAGTTAAACGTGTTACACACTGGATTCAGAATCTGTTGTGCATCCATCTTCAACGTCTCTTGTACTATAGAGAAAAAGAAAAGACACTTGATCAAGTCACCTTCTCAATGGCTAGTTTCTGGAAAGGCTATATATATGGATGAAGATTCAAATTTGAATTTTAACAAGGATTCTTATGTTGAAGGAGTAGCAAGATCAATCAATTATCAACTCTATGTAATATGCAAATTTTCTATTTTAGGTTGAAATTGTAAAAGCCTTAAGATTTCTTACCCCTGTAAATATTATAAATCTTAAGTGCTTTAGGTATATGTTATGGTGATTTCCTGTATCTCTGATGCTTGCATCATGTACACTTTCTTCTCTATTCTGATGAGCCTTCAGTAGTTTAGAATAAGTCTTCTACTATGTGCATGAGCAAAAAGTCTTGTCTCATTGGGATTTAAGACCCAAATCTTGATCCAAGATGCTTAAGCCACATAAGTATCATTGCTTAAATGCTTGAGTCGTGAAAGTATTATTCATCTAGTCTGTTTAAGAAAGTGGGAAAGTCTCCATCTGAGGGGCGAGAGCAAGAAGTCTGAGTGCAGCTTGAGCAAGGGAAGTCTCAGTCTGGATGGCCAGAAGAGCATGTGGCTCAGCCAGAGGATGTGAGCAAAGGGAAGTCTTAGACATATGCTCTAAGGAAAGGGAAGTCTCAACTAGAAGACAGATGAGCAGATGGCTCATTCTGATGGTGTGAGCAACGGTTAAGT